CGTTTCAGAAGTCTTTATTCCCCAGATTGGTCAATATTCTTCTGTTACCCGCCGACAAAACTTGTTATCCATATAAAATTTTAATGCAGACGTTCTGTTGATTAAACCCTCTCCGCGAGTTAATCAAAACAATTGTTAATCGACAAGATTACGAAATGTTTAAATTACTGTGGGAAGAGTAGTAATGCGAGCGGCTCAGTGAAGGGGAGTGAATGAGAATTCGAAGAATACGACACTGCCGCCAGCAAACAGTACCGAGGAGACTCTTAATTGCGGGCACAGCGTTTCCAAAAGAAGGTTCAAAGTAAAAGGAAGAGAAGAAGTCGATTACTTGCCCTGGATGACAACTTCAAAGGGAATTCGGTTGATATATTTGTGGTTCGTGAGAACGTTGATGCACGCCTTGTTCCTGGTAACTTTTCTCTTTTGTTCTGGGACAATCACTAAAGCGAAAAATTCTAAACCGAGTAAAATTAGCACCGCATTGAACGCGGATTACAATAACCTGAAAGATAACATGCGTGCCTCGTAAAACATTTTGCTGTTGTTGTAATTCCCTTTTTGAAGCATCAGAATTCAGTTCGAACAATTTCGTCTTGTTATTGACAGTTAAATATTATTGAAATAAAATTAATAGATAAGTTTCTAAAAACAGGAATATAATACTACGTAATGCCACTTTTCTCCGGCGCCCACGCGTACGTACACAAACAACCTTTAATAAGACTGTCTTCTAGCGGGATTTTAGGCGTTTTAAAATCTTTAGTCCGCTTGCACCATTCGTCCAACAAGTTGGGTATTATTAAAAATCAATCTTTAAGTGACAATTTAACTGATTTTAAACTTTGGCTAATAGTACGTTTTGAATTTTTTTTTACCAAAGAAGATTTCGTTCCTTATTTAGGAAGCAGATTCTACAATGCACTTGTTCAACCCTTCCAAGTAATCCTTTGCAGCTTTGTGTTCACATTTTTTATTTTCTTTTTTTATGACTTAATTAACTAAGTTTTAAATTCAAACATAAAAAGGAAAACAATTAGTGGTCAGCTGGTACACACACATATGCTCACACAAACACAAACTCATAGACACTCACATACACATACACAAACATGCACATAGACACACACGCACACATATACGTTCACATGCTCAAACGCAAAAGCACACACGCACGCGCTCACACAAACACACAAGTGGTTACTGAACTGTTGCTTTTTCTCTGAACTGATTTAATTGACATTTGATTTTATCTTCACATATATTTATAAACATCAAATCCCCACCTATCACTCCATTAGATTTATTTCACAAGAAACAGATTTTCCTCCAGATCTACAGCCTTGACGAGGGTAACAGTACACTGCAGTAGTTCTACATGTATCTGTATCAATACCCTGAGTTCCTGAGTGTGTTCCGGAATGAACATCTCGACAAGTAGCCAGCAGATGTATACCGGGTGCCCAGTTGTACGGCGTCACGCGCCACCCTGGCTCTCTAAAACTCAGGATGATTTGAGCCTGATCAATGGCTGCATGTGAAAGCCACAGAATGGTTTTGTGGAACGAGGTTGGTGGGCGGGGGGGGGGGGGGTAGGTTGTTTAAAGGGATAATAACTGTTCGTTTGAGATTCATATTTCTCTAAAATAAAATAAACGCAATAAAAATAATTGTTATAAATTTTCCCCTAAATCAGCTGTTATCGCAATTATTCTGGAATCTGTGCTTGCTGTCACACCACGTGGACCTTCATAGATGGCTATACCTCTGTAATAATCTCTTAAGAGTTTATTTTTAAAAAATTAGCATTTTAGGGAAGAAAAACAATGGGCTAACCTTGAATGTTGGAAAGGATTCGTTAACCATCGGTAAGTATGGGAAAATCGTCGTTTACCCCAGAAAAATCCAATTGTTATCCCTTTAACTTGGAGATAAAACGTGAATCCCATCATCTAGTGTCCTTTGAATTCAAGTCTTTACTATGACATCAACAATCTGTCAACCAGTGACAACGGAAAGCTTCCACAAACCAGTAGCATTGTGGTTTTATGCTACTATAAAATGGCGCGTATTCTATTATTACATTTGATGATAACTATTCGTAGTTTTGCCCCCGGGAGATACATTTACGCAATGTCAAAAAAGTAAGTTTCTTTGTATAAGTTTCCTTTTTAAAATCCAAATGATGTTGTGAGGAGGAGACCAGGGACTACACTCCTGTGAATTGTGGTGGCAGGTTGCGTTTATCAAAATGGCGCTGAGCAAAACACAATCACAATCATTCCCTGGGTTTGAGTTAAATTGCTTTAGATGTGACAACACACTAAACGTCGCAATGAGGAATAATTTTATTCATGCATCAACGTATACGTATTATATTTTTTTCTTCTTTTCCTCTGAACGTACTACCAATTCCATGATGCACAGTGTTTTTGCATACAAAGCAAAGCACAGCTTTGGGGAATAAAATGAATGTTCTGAAATACCAGTTGTATTGACTCCCGCTCCTTGACATGTCTATGAAAATGGCTTTGCTACTGGATATTGAGCACATGGTTCTGGTCACGTCCCCAGAAATAAGCCATGTAAAACACCTTTGTTCAAATATTGATGCCGTGCGCATTCAAAGTCTCATCAATGAGTCCTAGCATATTGCAAAACACTCTATAATGAAGTCAGTCATGAGAATAGGAACCTCCTCCAAGGGTAATAATTTGAAGCAAAGGACTATCGTGAATAAAACATTATTTTCTCATATATGTTGTTTAAAACTGGCTTTAAATGCGCACACAAAATTTTATATTAATTTACATGCGATACTTTATTTATTACGATGTTTTGCATCATTTTACCAATAACATACATGTATAGTTGCATGGAAAAGACTACTTCAGAATCAGATGTAGAAAAGGTTATTCTATTTCGATATTGGGGAATAACAAAGAGTCCCTTAAAATTTATATCTGTTCTTAATGCTTGATTTTTTCTTGCATTACACTGCATAGAATTAGACCTTGATGACCAAATAAACAAGCTTCATGCAAAATGTAGTTTTCTTTAAATCTTGTATACATGCATGTACTCTTGCGTTTCTCATCAGTATATTTTGAACACCCTTATTTATCAACAGATTGCGTGTGCAAAAATCTTGTTTTCTTTTTTTTTTTTTTTTTCAATTTTGATATTAACATTGAATTTTCAATAAATTTTCATTTCAATTTATGTTTTTCAAAGAAAAAAAAATCCGCATCTGGTCCAGTGCAGTTTACAGTGGCCTCAATATCAATGCGAGTACGGCTTATGGCTTACATAAGTATCAAACGAAAGCGAGACTTCTACACGAGGAGAGAATTACATGAAATGTGGGGGCCAGAAAAGTAACCAACTTCAGTGTCGCGCTCGAGAACTCTTTTGTTTTCTTTTTCATTCTTGGGTAAACAATTACTGGGGTTAATTACTGAATTCCACGTGATTTTCTATCTGACTGGCCTGCGAAAACAGAGCGAGAGCTCATATCAAAGCAGTCAGAGTGATAAAATTACTTGCTGGGATATCCGTCAATACAACAGATACATGAAAAACATTGAACTCAATATCCAGGGCCCGACTCTGACTGAGCTAGAACAATACAGGAATTACCGCAAATAACTCACAAGCATCTTTGCCTCTTTAATTAGATTAAGATTTAAAGGGATGATTCAAGACCCGGAAAGCGTCTCTCTTTCGCCATTTTTTTCTGCACCAGACTTTATCTTTCCACGCGATTTTTTTTTTTTTTTACCCTATCAACTAAACCGTTTGAACATCGTAAATTCCATATTTAAGCTGATGTGAAATTTAAGTAATGGTGAACTTTCTTGCTTCGATCTCAAAACAATTTACAAATTTTAAATTTGTTTATTTTTCACATTTAATTGGTCGTTGCAGCACCAGTGATAGGCCATTCAGGCAGATAGTGCTTTTTTACAATTCCTCGCTTTTTATGAGATGTAGCTTAAGAAATATGCTTTTATTCACTTGAGAGATTCTCACGCATCAGTGCTGTTGCTTGTAATATAACTATCTATAAACTATCGATTCAACGATCAATTCATACTATTAAAAATGGCTTATTTCTAAACTTACATAAAGGTTGTAAGTTTTTTTTATTCAAGAAAGTTGTTGCAAACAAAGGCAGTTGACTGTGGCTGAAACAATTACATCAGTCCCCCTACATCATCACGATGCTTCGATAACAATACAAGACACGGTAATTTAGGCATATTTCATGTAGGATAAAAAAATTGCTTCGAAAAGTACGCTTTATCTTTGGCCACCACCAATACGGCTAATCTCGCTTTTGGTCCCAAGAAACAAATCCACTTTGTCGTTTAATTACAAAAGCTCTTGAGTTTTAACGACTTAAAGCAAATCTGAGACTCTTGCCCGGCAAAGTCATAAAACGAAACCTGGCCTTCTCTCTCGGTTGTCTCCACAGCACGGGTGGTCTGCAAGGGCAAGAGAACAACCCCGCCATTAATTACGGCTTTAAATGACAGTGGGACAATTACAACAGATATCGTCCAATTTAACGAGTGGAATGAATCCCTTACTCGTCGTCTCGGGACAGTTATGTGTTTTTACGCCACATAAATTCAGTAGCCGTGGAACGCTCTGAATGGGTTTCTGCAGCGTTCCGCCTAACCAGATGGACTAGCCTGTTTATTTTCAAGAACATGTATCTTTTTGGTGTTGGGGTTTTTGGTTTACACTTGCTAGTTCATTAGGCGCGCACCCTGCAAATAGAGCTTAGTCTAGTAACAATTTAATGACATTTTCTATCCATTTGTAAGTATACGAATTACACTACAGGTTCTACCCGTGATCTGCAGGGGCGTAGCAGACGATGATCTTCATTACGCACAACTCCATCAACGTTTGGCAGGCAGACGACGCTCTGGGAACGCAGCACTCGTTATTACCTCGTCAATTCTACATGAAATAACCAAGTAACACTCTAATCGTGTATACATTCAAATCTTTGGCAAGTCATATTTGCACTTAGGCCAGCTTTTTATTACTTTTCCTCCGAGACTTCTTCTCATTGGCACATAGAAAATTACACTTTATAAAAACACACTTTAAATAAAAATGTCACACGCAAACTTGAGTATAAAATATCACTCTACTATGGTACATTATACCTTTTTACATTTTAATCTAACAAACTGGTGTTATTTTAAATAACAGATACACCGAGACAACATAAAACGAGAACTCAAATGGTGTGAAGTTTTTTTTACAGTAATCTAAAACAAAACGCAGTCCTATTTCACAGAAGGATAATAAAAGTTTCGTAAAAAATATTCCTGCATCCGCTTCCTCATTAATTAGTCAATTTTCGAACAGTTTTGGAAGTGTTTTGGAAAATGGCTGTCTTATTTCCAAAGATATTCATTTCCTTATTGCGCTCCTGTGTTTTACTCTCTTGGAAATGAATCCAAGCGAGCTGTGCGTTGTTATCCTTGCCACAGTTTTCGGCCCGCGGACTTATTTCTGGGGCGAAGACGCCTCATCCGCACGAAAGTCTCTTTCTCGCCTCCTGCCTCGGCCGGACGGTCTCTCTTCCGCCGTATGTGCGTCAGTGTTACGTAACGATCTCCCTCGACTTCCGTCAGCACGGCATGAACTTTTAGAACGCGACGTTGGTCATAGGTAACCTTCCTCAAATGCCCATCATTTCTTGTCCTATTCACCCTCAAGATCATCATACTTTTGCACATTGCTTTCATTGTCATAAACTAGCTTTATGGTTGCTAGGCAACATCCCGATCTAACGTCCGCCCGTTGTTTTTTATAATCGTCCGTGGAAGAATCAATTCACACGACTTCTCTGCTTTTTAATCATCAAAGAAAGTCTCTAGACCCCGGGGATCAAATCATACATTTGTCGTAATATCCGCCATGCTGCAGCGTGGAGCCCGGAGCCAGGGGGGACGGGACGGCGTTGACGGTGGGGGGTTGGAAGTAGGGTTTGCGGTCCTGCATCCCAGGGAAAGCGTTCTGGGGGTTGGTCTGGAGTCGCATACCTGGAAAGAAAGAGAGAGAAAAATTATTTCATATGATTTATGCTTTTGAATTAATTTACAATATCTTGTGAGAGAGAGAGAAAAAAGAGAGAGAATGAGGGGAGGATTTAAACTTCGTAACTGAAGGCATTTTACAGTTTTACTTTACTTTAGAAATGAGAAATGTTCAGTTTTATCTTTTTTTTATTTATCATGAAACAGATGCGCTTGTACAATATAGGCCGTGAAAAAGCAAGCCATATGGAGTACAGACAGAACAATATAAAGAAAATAAATGAAAACATATTATAAAACACGCAAAAAACGTACTAAATGGGTAACAGATTGTCCCTTCTCGTATAGTTATTCCAAAAGGTTATTCATATAAGTATCTTAAACTTCCGACCCAGCTTAGTTTCCCTGTCTTCACAATTTGTAAATCAAAATTTGATTTTTCTGTATTCCCGTCATTATTCAGCACACTTATATTCATCTTTGTATATATTGTATTTTATACAAACATTTTTCGAATAACATGTGTTTTTATTAACATTAATGTATCTATTTCGCTTGATAATCTAAGCTAAGAATTGGCACTGTTTATTTTTTTATGTTGATTCCTATTCATTAATCTTTTTTTTCTCTTTTATGAAATATTATGTACATATTTTAATATTATAACTGATTCACATTACTTCATCTTTACATCTATCCTTATTTGAAACAGAATTTGAAGCAACTTTAAAACCTGCATTCACGTTATTTTAAAGTAAAAATCAATGAAGGTTTCTTCACAGTGAGGATATAGAGACGTAGAAACTATTCTATTACAGTTTTGTCATTACTTTCACTCGGTGGTGTTTTCACCCTTCCGCACGTCGTCATCCATAAATCATCGTAGAAATGTTGACAAAAATGTTGCCGTAAAATTTCAAACAAAACGTCGTCAGACCTACTGACCAGGGGGGTATGGTCATCGTCTCCGGCCACTGAGAACCATCACATATCTGTTTTACAGGTCAGGGCCCTAGTATAAGTCATGCTTTAGAGACATGGATTTTGAGCACAGTGAATATTACTTCTGCTGAAAAATACCATATGGTTTGGTTAAGTTTGGTTCTGGGGCCTTGTACATTTCTTTATTGTGCCCAGAAATATGTATACTGTAGCTGAAGGAGAGTTTTTCTACGACTTGACACAAGCCGGTCCTCACCAGTCTTTCAACGACTTTTTCAACCATTCTGTGATGACATTTCGAGGCAGCCACCCCTATCAAAATGGACACGGACGAATTTATGAGGAGCAAATAACCCGCCCATTACTGACAGCCTCCACCCACGCATGGAAGAAATTGTTTAAAAACAAGGCTAGCGTTTCACCTATATTTCATAACGGCCATCTGCCAGCGTTTCTGAATTACGTCACCGTTTTGAAATTCGTCTATATTTCATATCTGCCATGTGCCAGCGTTCCAGAATTAGGTAACCAGTTTTTAAGAGCATTTTAAGTAGAATATTGTCAGTATCATCTTAAAGATAACATTTGAATGGCTCACTTCGCAGGCCATCTTCCAAAGGCCCTCACCATGAAAATAACTTTTGCTTTTGTTTAAGAATTCAACAACATCAAATTTACCAAACATCGGAGGAAAGGCTATGCATTCCCGAGAAAGAAAACGATCTTTGGCCCAAGTGGTAACCTAATAACAAAACAAGTGTTTAATTTTACATATCTTTCGTACAAATCTTTGTTTTCGTTTCTTTAATGCTGCTAACTCAAATGAGCATACCTCACGGTTAAAAAATATGTTGCTCATATAACCTATAATTATTTGGAGAAATATAAAAAACTAATTAGCATTTTTATAGGTTTCTTCAAACCGACAATAGAACAAATATGTCGCTTAACAGTACTTTGTTTACATCCTATGTTTTTTAAAACTAAAACAAGTTGGAGCAAAACCTCAATCATGATAACAACGTCGATCTCTGGTCATGTGATGTTCGAGAGTAACGTGCATTTATTTAATTTGGCTGTGTGAAATCAGGTTTTTGTTCTATATTCTCCGGTTTACTTGTATATTTGTACTTCTATATTGGATCATTTATTCATTCATTTTCTTAAAAAGCGATCGTTGAACAATAAAATCCTTCGAACTGGCGTGAGAACTCAAAATTACGCAACCTGGCACAGTGAATTATAACAAGTGGCAGTTTGATTCCCACATAACATGACATCATGGCAGCATAGCAGTATCCTCGCAGGACTGGAGCTTACAACACTACCAGTGGCAGGCAACACTAATCTCTGGGATAAAGCCATTCTTGGCTGTCTAGATCACCGCGAACTGGTCTCCTCGGCTCACGGGTGGTCCAGGTAGTCGTAACAGGACCCGGGGAACGCCGATGATTAAAACAAGCCCTCATTTCAGAAAACTTAAGACATCTAAAGAGAATGACAGTCATTCAGCGTTCTTTGAACGACGCATATCTGCCCCGGCGGCGATAGTAACTCGAGCGCTTGCTCTTCAGTTTGAGGAAAAAAGTGGTTAATGCCACAGGCAGCGTTCGTCTTGCTCGCTGAAGATGTGCCTTACTTCCACTGGGTATTATTGTTAAGGATAAGCGTCAGTTGCCAAGAGTTGCTCGGATGAATATTGGCATCTGTCCACTGGGAACGCTGATTCCCGCCCTAAGTATCTTAAAATTATTACAGATTATAAAGCGTAGTTCACACAGTAATTACTGATCACTTCTTAATTGATTAATTGAGTCTGGAAGGGACGGCGGGGGAGATAGGATTAAATGTTCCCCAAAATACTACATTCAATTTTTAACATGACCGTGCGTTTTCACAGTACAGACGTGCAGTTGAATAATCGACGGCGTTTCTATTTCTGGTATTTTTAAATACAAATGTTGGTAACTTATTAGTGCAAGAGAACGTTTTATTCGGGGCAGCAAAATCTTTGTGTTTTAACGGTAATTGAATGTGAACCAAGAAAACGAACGCAGCTTTGGGACTGTTGTGCGGAAACCATAGAACCTAATGCGAAATATCTTAATTAGACTTCATTGCGCTGAAGTTATTCTTTCATTTACTTCAAGAATACAAAGAGAAAAAATCTCGCCTCTTTGAAATTGTGCCGTGTAGTAAGTCTCTAGTTGACACTAGTTTTCTTAATTCAAGCCGGCAGGGTCCACACGCTTGAGTAGTAAACAGTCAAATTGCTCAATTTAAACTTGCGGCAGTCGAACGCTTACAGCGGCGCTGCAAGAAGAGCACGGTTCTCGCACTGGCCAATGTTTGTCACGGCGTTGTGAAATAAATTTGGACATCTACCGCACACGATTTATGATAAAATGTGACTTCTGCCGAGAAGGCTGTCGGTTTTGGTTACCCTCTACGCTCAACTCTCGGGCACCTAAGATCCATTAGTTACATAACGAGGCCTACCAGCCTTTCAAATTAAATTATCAATTAACTGAATTGTACGGCGGAGAGAGGTTTTGCGCTAAGAGGGTTGGGGCCGATCTCACAAAAGAACTTTTCACCAAAAACTGGTCTCAAGTTTAAGACCAAAAATATATTCAACTTAAGTTTAAATAAACCCTTAGATATTCACTTTAAGTAATTTTTAGTTCGAAACACTTGCAATGTTTTCTCGCTGTAAAACGTGCGCAATATATCATTTAATTGGACTACTGATGATTAATTTTAGGTCAAATTAGACTTAAGTTTTGGTCTAAAAGTTAAGACCAATTTTCGGGGCTATAGTGATGTTGTGAGACATGCCCGTGGTGGATGGGAAGCGTTCACTGCATGCTGCGGTCGCGCCTCGTTGGCAACGAGAACATGCTGGTGAGACGCCATGGGTCTGTTTTGGGGGATACTGATGCGGTTTTTCACCTACGCTTTGTTTTTCCATCAAAGATTTTCAGTGAAATGACAAAGTGATGACACATCGGTACTGCTACACTGTCGTTGTATATCTAATCGTCAAAAAACTTTGCATTCCCTCAAATATCCTGATACCGTAAATACTGTGTGAAATTACACGTTTGTGATTTACATATCTTATTTTTTGAAAAATAGAATCAACTATTTATAATTATTGGTTGATTTCTTTCAGTTATACTTTCCTATATGAAAATTTTCTTGAAATTACAAATTAACGGCAAGTCTGCTTACTTGTTTCTTTGTATTATCTATACTTTATTTTCTAATCTCAGACGTGCTTGACAAAAAAAAGGGTTCCCTTTTTCATTCAATTTATTTTTCCGTCCTTTGCCTATCCCAGAAGGAGAATTAATCTTTATCACAGGATCTAACGATATGCTCTTTATTCAAATGATAGCCGAGATATTGAAAATTTATCAATTAATATTTATTATAGTCAAATATTTTGTGATTAGTCGTGTTAAGATCATTATAAATCTCTCTTATTTATAAATAAAGCTCGAATAATATCAAATAAGTTTTCACAAAGGTAACCATGGTAGCAGATTATGTTTACAGAAACATTTTCAACAACTTGGTAAATATGCAGAAAAATGTTTCTTTGAATAAATAAAAAAAAAAAACAAAACAAATACTAGATCAGATATTACATTTTTGTGTCTGTGTCAAAAATCATGGGTATGTACATAAAAATGATGAAAATTAAGTAGTGGGTCCTAGATTAAATGAAAATAAAAAGAGACAAATGAATAAATATAATATTTAATTTAAGTCATTTTGTTAGAGTTATATTCAGGGTTGGTTCTGCTGTGGGGTGCCCTGCAAAAACAAGGCAGAAAAACAAGCTATGGAATGTTTGGGCTGAAGACAGGTATGTGGAATCAGAAATAACGTGAGAAAGATTACCCCAAGTTAGGTCACTTCTCGGTCAGTATTTTCTCAGCTAATTGGTCAAGATGACCATAGGAGCGGCCAGCCAGCTGAATACACGGTGGACTTATTAAGCGGAACTATTTATCTTCTGGATTAACTCTGCAAAAATATTTATGCTATGTGCTGCT